TGAGGCAAAACAATCACTTGAACCCAAGATTGAGGTTGTTATGAGTTATGACACCATGGCACTCAACTGAGGGTGAGACTCTGTCTCGAAAAAATAAAAATTAATTTTAAAAAATTGTGATAAAATATACATTTAAAAGTTTTTATTAATTGTAGACTCGCAGCAAGTATTCTCAGAGAGAATTGAGAGGACCCTTTGCCCAGGTCCCATAATGAGGATGCCTGGATGGTCATCCAACATCAAAATCAGGAAATAGACATTGGTATGTATTTATTTTTACAGTTACTTGCATGGCAGGTGACATTAACTTTCCATCTTTGTCGATTAAAAAAAAAGTTAAGGTTCAGCGCTTGTAGTAGCTCAGTGGTTAGGGTGCCAGCCACATACACCAGGGATGAGGGGTTTGAACCCTGCCCAGGCCTGCTAAACAACACCAACAATAACTGGGCGTTGTAGCAGGCGCCTATAGCCCTAGTTACTTGAGAGGCTGAGGCGAGAGAATTGCGTAAGCCCAAGAGTTTGAGGTTATTGTGAGCTGCGACCCCACAGCACTCTACCAAGAGTGACATAGTGAGACTCTGTCTCCAAAAAAAAAAAAAAAAAGTTAAATAGAAAAAGGAAGTTAATGGAATTCCAAGTCCTAAATACTTGGCAGTAGTATGCAGATGTGGGAAACACACAGACTGAAGTCAACTAGAGACTTTGGTGGGGAAGCCTGGGAGAGATGCTCACATCACCACCACTACCCTCACCAAGAGGGGAAAGTGTCTGCAGCCTCTGAGCACGCTGGCGCTCCAAATGGAAAAGCCAAAAAGGAAACCTTTGGTATGTTTGTGAGGAAACGTTACAAATGCATGCACTCAGGTGCTATCCCCCCAAGCCCAGGTTGAACCATAATCGCGGTTTGGCCACACTGGCTCTATCTGGGCCTAACCTTCCTACTGCTATTGCTGGTTCTGTATTTTCAAGCACATTGACGTTTCTTTGCTCATCCAGAATGCTGTCACCACATCTGACAGAATTAACATTAATTCCTGGATGCCAGTTAATATCTCGCCCATATCGCCCTCGCCACTCAACACCTCTGCAGACTCTACCGCAGGGACCACCACAAACTCGCTGCCTGCTGGGCGTGCTGGGGAGGCACAGAAGGCACACTCCTCCGACTGTCTCATGGCGTAGGGGTTAAGAATCAAGGACCTGGCTCAGCGCCTGTGGCTCAAGTGGCTAAGGCGCCAGCCACATACACCTAAGGTAGTGGGTTCGAATCCACCAGAGCCCGCCAAACAACAAAGACGCTGGGCGTTGTGGCGGGCGCCTGTGGTCCCAGCTACTCGGGAGGCTGAGGCAGGAGACTCGCTTGAGCCCACGAGTTGGAGGTTGCTGTGAGCT